GGAAACTGTTCAAGGAAGTTGTACGAGACAAGGAGTCTGTGACTACATTGTTTGCTCCAGAAATGTGTTGTTTATCTGAAATAAACTGTGAGATTGAGTCAGGTTGTTGAGACTCTCGAGGAGAGTACTTGTCTGAAGATGAGCTTGGAAAGATGAGAGGTTTATGGTCAGTAAGAAGGAAACTATTTTGCATGAACCGTCGATAGTAAGTTAAACGTGCGTAGTTTCGTGACCGTAGTCAACTCCGGGTAGTCCAGTATGTCTGCCATTTTACTTAACATAGGGCGGATGCCTTAAGCGTCAGCACTGCGCTGGAGAATGTCTGATGTCTGAATGTTAACAGTATTGCCATACTTTTGAGGTTGTTCAAAAACAAGGTCTACATGCTAGAGATATGATTCTCTGCTCCGACATGCGATCATGCAGTCATCAACATACGTAGGCACGAAGTTGAGACACTTAAATGAGAAATTTAAAGCAGTTGGTCCTTCCGATGAATTTGGATAGTGCAGTAAAAAATTGTTCAAACTGTATTGTGCTAACATATCACATAGTTCTGGTTATCTTCATCCATTTATTACGTTATTCAAACTCCCGAATAAACTATCGATGAATCGCTGTAGTCTGTGCAACATTTCTTAAACTGAAAAACGTGAGAAAAAAATTGTTAAGCCCGAATTGTTGTCAGCCGATTTGGAAAAGTGATCTGCAGTCGTGGGCATTTCGTTATGCGCTCTATTCAGGTCGTGGATGTGTGATAACGAGTAACGACCATTAGGTGTTTACATGTCCAGTCGCCTATAAACACCAGTTAGACTCCAGTCGTTCCTGTTCATTTTGCGGATAATATGCGAAGGATGTGCCTTCGGACTGTTCGATAACCGGATAATACCGAAGTCTTTAATGTGCTCGAGTTCACTATCGGCCGGCCTTTGCTTTTTGGAAGCTAGTCAGTATGTTTTAAAATAACAGTTGGTATTATAGTCGTGATATGGTGCATAACACTGCCAGTTGGGCACAGTAGCTTCGATCGTGCTTTGTAAAGTTCAGAGCACCTTTTTACTCGTGGCAGGGAAATAACTTAAAGCTATGTGATCAAGATCCGCAAATAGATAATTTGTTATTTCCGTCCACTAACCTCTGTTTGTTTGGGTCGATGAGTAGGTTATGGTATTTTGGTGGGTTAGGAACAATGATTAGTATAGGAACACCTGTAACAACAAAAGTCGAGTGAATAGGTCTGCGTAAATTCACGTTAAGCTAAACACATCTCTTAACGGTTATGACAATCAGTTTCCCATTTGCCTCTTGTAGGTTAAAGACTGGATCTTGTAGATGGTAATTCGACTAATCATACTTGTTTTGGTACCAATCTCAATCAATGTGGTCCGTCTCTCTTGGTTTAGAGATATACCTGTTTCGCATAGGGCTTCTTTAAAAAGTTTGTAGTGGTGTTAATCCTAACCACACAATCCTCAATGCTGAACATGAGATAACTGGGAAAATAGATGTTCAACATTTAACATGGAGAGAAGGCCGGCAATGGTGAACGCGGGAATGTTCATGCATTCAATCAGACTCAAACTTGCGGACGTGGTTATTTTGTATAACTTGTTTTCACTCATATTAAATACATCATTCTATCTTTGGCCTAAATAGGTTCTTTGCAGACGACAAACGTCATATCGCGGATTGTTACGTACAACGAGTCAGAATAGACAATGATATGATTTCCATGTGAGATCTTATGGACTAGGTTTCACATCGTGACATATCTAAAATTTTAGGATTAGGTCTGTTATTATGATAGTACTAATAACACGGTAGAACAATATTATAAATAATGATTTACACAATAATATAATAAATAATATTATAAATATCGTTCATGTCATTTTGCATCTTTTGGAGCTTTTCCTTGACAGAACGTTAGAAATGAATTTTGTTCAACAACTTTGTGAAAAAGCGAATATACACAACTTCTTGATGACTTTATCAAGGATGTCTTCATTGACGACAGTAAAAAGACGATTATTCAGTATCTTCACCACTTGTTCCGGGTAGATGACTACATTCACGTTGAATAAACTAGTCCTCCATAAGCATTTTCCACAGCCGGTTTGTAGAAATTAATAACGATATTATAATCGAATAAGTGTTCAAGACATAAGTTACTACTAAATGTACCGATCTATTATCAGGTCACATAAATACACAGTCATAACTATTCAAGTGCCATAAAATGTCCAGAGCAGTTCATTTGAGCAAAATCAAAACTGGATAACCTTTACAGAACTTTGCTTACTGGTAGAGAAGTCACCTGCTATCCACTCCCTTCCATCCTGACTCCACGAAAAATTACACAAGGTCACATCAGTCTTTTTGCCGCACTAGCTCCCCTCATTATCCAATAATTGAGTAGCACAGTTTAGATCTGCAAAATATTGTATGTTGGGGGGAATACAAACGAACTGGTAAAAACGGCTCATACAGCCGATTCAAACAAATAAGGAACATATACATAGAGGCTATAAGAGAAGACAGGCTTTGGTAACATATAAAGCTTATTGATAAATTTTCCTTCAATCTGAAAAGCTTATTTCGTCATGGAGCTTGTCGTCGACAAGCCAAAACTGGAGTTTGCCAACTGCTAGGTCCTAATGGCACAAGCGACAACGGCGGTGACACCACTGACCTTCTGACAGAGCAGTACATTCAGACATTCCAACGGACTGGCACTGACGTTTTTGATGGAAGCTTCACCTGCGACTCAACAGAACTCTCAGAAGAGAAACTGAGCGCTGACGTGGTCTACTGGGGAGTGCAGTACCTTAAAGAAGACACTTCTCCTGGCCCGGATGTGATCCCTTCAGTTAAACCGAGGGAAGCAGCTTCAACCTTGGCAACACCGCCTAGCGTGATGTTCTCACATTCGCCAAGCCAAGGCACATTACCATAACATTGGAAACGGACTCATATTATACCAATTTTCAAAGGAGGTCGACGCAGAGAACCTTCAAGCTACCGACCAGTAGCACTTCTCTCAATACCCTCCAACATATGAAGTCCCTGATATGTGACGGTCCACGTGACTGCTTAATATCCATGATCTTATTTTCATCCTGACAGCACGGTTTCAGAAAAGTTAACTATCGTATAACTAACCTACTGACCGCGGTGGACAGATAAACAACCATCATAGATCGCAAGGGGAAGGTTGATGTCATTTAAGTTGACTTCTCAAAAGCTTTTGATGGGGCCAACCGTATATGTTTTATCAATAAGCTCAAACAATTAGGTATAAAATCACCTTTAATTGACTGTCTCACTTCATATATAAAAAATAGACACCTTAAGGTTGGCGTTAACTTCACTTTCTCTCGGGCTATGGAATGTCCTAGGGGGGACTACTGTGTTTAAGTACTAGAACCTCTTCCTTAATTTTTATTAACGATCTTCCGCAGCAAGCATCATCAGATTCATTAGTTTTCGCTGATGATGTGAAGCTCCGGAGAGAACTACGTAACGAAAAGGATAGTTTGGCACCTCAGGAGGATATGGCTCGGCATCAAAGTTAGGGAGACAGCAACGAACTTACTCTTAACACTTCCAAGTGTAAAGTAACCCATCTGAGACATGTTGTAGATTACAGCTACAAGTTAGGCAACTTCCCTCTAGGGGTATCCCAAGGTGAAGAAGATCTAGCAGCGTTTGTACCCTACGATTCGAAATCTAACGCTAACTGCAACAAAAATGCCTGAAGAGCTCCTCCAATCACTGAACATTTACCCATGGGGGTATGGGAGCCTTAGAGGTGACCTTATAATGATTTACGGCATCCTAAACACTTCTGGGCATCCTCTTAAACACCTACTTAATCTTAGTCTCAATGCGAACTTTGAGCGTAATGATGATGCAACGGATATTCTAGTTTTACAACTAGCTACCAATAGCACCTTCTATATTCGATCGTTCCCAGTCAGATAGAAATCAGAAGTCAGACGAGAAGAGGTAGGAAAGATATATTTGATTCGTTACCAATATATCGAGGACCTTTTCTATAAGCTGGCTAATGAAACGTAGGAGCTGTGTCCCACGCCGTGTTGAAACGTGATCTGGTACGGATGCATGACCGAAAGCCTTCAGCTAAACAAGTCCACTTAAACAACGTGGTCAGCACCCAATGTCGAACACTTAATGAACTATTGATTTTGGGGAATTATTTACAGCTACAATAACATTCAGAATCTGGAGACATAACGCAGCAGAAAGGACCGTAGAATTACCTTCTACTCCTTAAGAATAGTCAAATGCTGGAATTCGCTGCTGGCCAAGGTAGTCCAAGCGACTTCGTAGGGGTCGTTTCAGAAGAAACTTGACATATTCTTAAGAACTAAGAACAGTACCTCACAATGATTTACCAACTTTTTTCTTCTACCTCTTTTATCGTTAATATTATTATTATTATTATTATTATTAGCTTGATTCAATATTATATTATTTGGTACAAAATCGAATTCTCAGCATAAAGTATTTCAACATATTTACGTTTCTTATTTCTTCGTTGCTCCTGATGATAAACATTCAGTGATCGCCAGTTGGATGTCAGAAGTTCAGTCAATCGACATATGAATAATGTATATCCTTTTTTGCTGCATGTTCCCAGCAAACACGACATCTCTGATTAGACCTTTTCTAACTTTTACAGCGAAAGGTTGTACAGTTTTCAGAAACGCACCGGAATAGGTTGTGTGCTTAATAGCCATAATGATGTATTAAAACAAACAATATTAGATAACTTGTTGAAATATATAGATGACGGGAAACAGGTAGCCCAGATGTTTAAGCAGGCCGCCCGAAAGGTACATAGGTTCCTGCCTGTAGATATCGTCGATCCACTGCAACTAGATACGGGAGCCCGTTAAGCGAAAGCTTCTTCTATTCCATCCGAAACCATTTGAACCATTCCTTCATTTTGTGCGCGAATGTGATATCGCTTCAATTGTCCCGCTGCATTTAATACATGAAGGTTGGCTTTAGGAATATTTTGTCGGAATAATACGTTTTGTTGGTTTTCGCTTTCCCGAGAAGTCGTCCAAGGTAAGAATTACTTTAAAAAGGATAATCACGTCCCTAAAGTGTATTTACTTGACATTCAATAATTGGGTCAATAATTCGGACTGACGTTCTTATAAAATAAGTAGTTTTTGATTCGGTTATATGGACACCAAAGTTACGAGCTAACATGGATCTTAACACAAAAACATTGTTTGTGGGAACATGATGTCGGCTATAATTGAAAATTTCATGTATCTATATTAATTGCTGCTCTGTTTGTTAGATGAGGCATCGAGTTTTTGAACCTGAGCTTTCACGATTAGGCGTTATAATTCTTCTGAATGAAGATTGTTCAACTCGGAGGACATATTTTAGATGACTTAATTTTTTTATTCTGGTTAGCATCTTTTTAGCAAGATTGTTTTCTACGGGATGGGGTTGGTGACCCCATGCTCAACCCTCCTCCTTTATATGGGCTTGGGACTGTTAATAACCCTAGAAAAGCTACAGGCTGAGTTGGCTTTACTTGGCAATATAAGGCTTATTTATAACAAAAGGAGTTACATTCGAAGTCCTTATTTCTTCAGATTTTTAATTCCCGTAGTTTTTTTCAGTTGAAGTCTTGAGGAATGTTGAAATATGTGTCAATGATTAACCATACTTGTATTCATCCGTACAACCACTTTGTTGAATAAGGAGATATAATCGGGGAGTTTAAGAACGTTTTGAAAACATGTTTCCTACGTCCGTTAATCCAGGCATATAAAGACACAAATTAGCGAAGGCAAAACGTACCCTATTGAAAGCGATACCCGGTACAAGGTTTAGTATATGTCAAATCAGACAATGAATAACGCTGTAAACAGCTAATTTTGCAGATATGCTAGCACATATAAGACTTACAAGTACAGAATTAACAAGGGCTCCAATAATAAGGTACATGTATTAAAGGTCGGGATTGCTTATGAAAATAATTTAGTTAGCAGGAATATAAAGTCAACTCAAAGGTTATCTGCCGACTAAGTTATCAAAACCTGAATATATGGAACAATATCTGACGCGTTTTCATAAAGGACTACTACTACTATGCCGAAACTATTCAACATTTCTCGTTACCATCGTCCTCTGTTATAAAGACCGTAGCGGAGTATTACTGATGGACATGTCCAAATAAAGAGTTAATACTAGGTAAGAAATCGTTAGACAGTAAGTATTTAGTGATTGTTTCTAATCCAGTACTCACTACGTTGATCTATAAAATCCAGACTATCATTTTCATATATCTAAAGGTAATAAACTAAAACACCTAGATCTACTTAGATTACCTCAATTAGTTGCTAGAAATCTGATGGGATATTTTAAAATTCTCAGGTTGGTAAACCAACGTAAAACCTGTCACAAATACATATCGACTGAAGTTATAAAACCTCACCAGCACAGTGAGAAAGAAAATTAACTAAGTGAAAATCAAGACGAAAGCAGTAATTTGAACTGCTATACGAATCGAATCATGAGAAACACGGTTCAAGCGGCATGAATGAAACGAGCAACTATGAATCAACAGACATTTGATAGTAGATGCGACTACGACATATTTCGCGTTATATCGCTTAGCGTCTCTAACTATTAATTAGAAGTATTTTTCACGTTCCAACCGGAAGTTGATACCAGCTGATAAGGCTTAGTTTGAAAGCCAATAGCTTCATGGATTGGTACTATTTTATTACCCGCGAAGCCTTCATATAACTACTTAGATGCTTTTTTTCCACATTGAGGTGAATTATAGCCATAAACGCACACCGTTCACTTTACTAATTTTGAAAATCTCAAGTTTCCATCTTTTGTCAAAACTCGTAACTTCATGCTTTCTGCTCTCACTAATTGTTCTGTATAAATAGTAAAGCCGTGCTTATTGTAGTGTCGTATTCTCACTCGTTAACACAACATTTTTCAACATTAGAAGTTATATTTAGAGTATGTTAATAAATATTTTTTGATTGTGGTTGGTGAAATAACACATTCACAATGAGTCGTTGAAGCCTAGAAAGTACGAAACAGTTGAAATCCAAATGTTTCATCCATTTTTTTAGCTGGTTAGATTAAAGTATCCATTGATTTTTTCGCGTCGATCTGCTATGACGACTACTAATCTAGTTTCCTTCCCAGATCCCTCGGGAAGAAATATCATTCCATAGTGTAAATAACTGTTAAGTAAAGACCGCCCTCATACCTCTAACAGCAATCAAAATCCTCTTGTTCACTATCAAATCCCTTTGCTTTCATTACCAAAACCCACCTTTTTCCTACAATTTTATCCCCATACACCACCAGTGCCAACTATTCGAGTTCGCAAGATGTGATTCCTGGCCTCCTGAAACCTCACTGTAAAACACATGTTGGAGCTTTCAATGTTCCTACCTTATTTCAACTAGGCCAACAGGCGTCTTTAACAAAGACTTTAGGATCCCGTGCCATAGATGTATGTTTTTTCTTGGAGGTACATATAGGACCCAGGTGTAGTCATTTATTTGACCTCACCTAGTTGTTACGGAGAATCAGCACAATTTACCCTCCTTGTATCTAAAGTCTTGATTGTTACCTCTCGTAACCTCACTGGTGTAAGCGCATCACTAAGTCCAAAGCTGAACGGGTTCTCGTAGATTGAACCTCAATAGACTCTCTGGTGTGCTGTCCGGCCAAATGGAGAAGTAAGAACGCGTAATGATAAGAACACGCCCCGTTGCCCCTTTGTGATTTGTGCCTACGCTCTCACTGATTACAGTTCGGATGAAGTAGATGATCAGTTTGATATGGTGACCTCCACTATTGACTCAATGATAGACACAAATAGACCATATCAACATCAGCCATCGATGAAGAGTTGCAATAGAAGAATCTCCTTCATCCTAGGGCACGTGCTTAGACACAGACCATGCCATAGTATGAGCACGTATTTGTGTCTTACTGGACATAGAAAAGCCACAGCAATAGAATCCTTTAGAGCTCACTTAAACTACAAAAATACCAAAAGCATATCATTAACAACTAGAGAAGCAGTTAGTCAATCGTCAAAGTAATGCTCACTCCGATCTAGGTTGGCATGGTATCAGGACAGCCGTGAGAATAGCAGTGATATATTAGTAACTACAACCGAAAGTTTAAGATGTCAGTAGACTTCAACATCGTTTACCGGAGTGATAGGTGCTCGAAAACTCATCCCGTCAACCTCCGAACACGATATGGAGTAAAGGCAATTCAAACTTAGACTGACAGAAGGTATACGTAATGATCATGAGTAGTGATGGATAGCTAAGGCAAAAGCGGTGAAAAAGTCAACCGCAATTGATAACACTGGATGACTTTTCAGAACTATCAAATAAAGGGGTATTACAAATTTGGGAGTTATTAAGATTATTTCTGAAAAAGATGGTCCGTTCTCAACCAAGGACACTAAAACTATAGGTAAGACGATTTCGAGAACAATTTAACTGCTCACCAGCCACTCTTCAGTTGCCTAATTTACTAAGCAACCTGAATAAAATGATTACACAAGCTCTTTAGATCTTTATGAAGTAGAAAAAGCCATAGCTAAATCTAAAGCGAAGAGGAGTAGAAGGCTTTTATAGATTGATCCCTGAGATTTTTAAGGACTCAGGTTTAGTTTTAACCGTTAAATTGAGAGATTAGCTAGAGTCTGAGAACTAGACCTAATCTTATCTGACTAATTTCGACCACTAATCGTTTCAGTAAGTAACGAAGGATAAAAGTCCTTTTATGACAGACACTGAGGAGTCAGTTTAAATAGTAGCCTCAATAATTGCCCTATGGTTAACCAAGGCTTGGAAACAGCGGAGTGGTTTCAAATTTGAACGTAGATGTGTGAATCAAACATTCGTCTCACACCAGGTTTTGGAGCACAAACATTTCTACAGACTCCAACCATGATTGCATTCCTTGTTCTTAGGGTAGCATTTGACTTCATAGATCGACAAGTTTTACGGTACCATCTATCATTTAAGAACGTATCAAAGGAATATGTTGGCTTTGCACAGGCTCTCCATTCGAACGCTACCTGTTGAGTCAGAGATTGTAACAAACTGCCATCCTAACTGATGACATCAAGTTGTGTTCGTCAGAGTTGTTCATTCCCCCCCCCCTTTATTCTTTTAGGAACGGATCTTTCATCATCTAACTTTTTGGAGATTGATACCCTACAAAGAGATCCACTTGTTGACTTGGAAGATGCGAATCATGCAGTTCAGTTTGGGTAAATACTCAAAGGTGATACAGTCTTTTGATCGCTTTCAGCAACAATCCAAACGTGTTTAAGATGTGGTTCTTTCTTTAAATGCAGGACGTTGCTTCAGGAATAGTCTGCTTTGACTCCTGAGCTAATGATAGGAAGTAGAGTAGTTGGCCCTGTCGATCACTTCTCTTATCCTGGAATTGTCATCAGCCCTAGCAGGTTGGTGTCCGTTGAAATCTCGTCAAGAATCCAGGAAAGTCGGTTGGGTTTTATCAACTTGGATCACTTATGGCTTAGGCAAAGTATCCACCTCTTAACCAAAGGATGAGTTAACCGTTCAACAGTTCACTCTGCCTTTAAAAATGTAGGATATTTGTAGGTTATTAATATTAGATCTTAAATATCTTCGAACCATTGCTCATATATTTTAAAACCATCGAGTTAGCGATTCTGAGGTTAGGCCCAGATTACTATGTATGTATGGCAAATCGATTGGCGAGACAATGAATGTTTATATTCTGAAGTAGTTAGGACATGTTTTACGTATCCTCATCCACCGACTACCTCGACAGCGCAATGGCAGTTGATGTAGAAGTAGGTTGGAAAAGAGCCAAGGATTACAAAATCAAAACATAGCATCAGTCCATAAAAACACTGACTATTGGACTGAGCCATATGGATAGATGAGGACTACGTGGTTGGAGTCCGCGTGACTATTTAAATTAGTGGTTGGAGATTTTGGATGAGATGGCCTAGAACCACTCATAACAGTACATATGCATTCACCCATTTTTCCTCAGATCATAAGTTTCTCAATTCCTTATGATTTTTTATGTCACTTATTTGTATTTTCTCGAATCGAGTCTTTGATACCTGATCTTTTCTATTTCCACCAATAACGTTATTATCTATTCACTCTAGGATTTCCCTTGACGATTTTATATCGCTGTGCTGATGAGGTGTGACAACTCTAACCGATGTACACATATTCCAGGTTCTACTTTGCATATGACTGATGGACTCACTTAGGTAGGTAACTTCTGGAAACTAGTCGTAGTGACATCTGTGGATTTATTCTTAAAACAGTTTTAAAAGTATGTACTATTTCATCTCTTTATTTCTAACCACGTACTTTATGTTTAGTAATTTTGGTTGTCATTGCTATAAGTTTTATTCCGGTTCCCTGGTTTTTCATTTTATTTTCGTTCCAATCCACTGATGTGGTAATGCAACTTGGGTCGTTGTATATTTGTTCCACATTCTGTGTTGTATATGACTGTTGGACTGTGTAATTACTTCGTTCGACTAATTTGCTTCGCTTTTATTTGTATGATCATTTTAGAACTTAAATGCAATCGAATCCTGCATTCTCTGAAGAAACTAAAATTGTTTTATCTTCGATCAACGCACCATCATTGTTAGTTAATGAAGAAAATCAATCAGTAGAGAATTCCAACGATGCATTTGAGCTTCTTTTACCTGTTGTTTTAAATAAAGAAACTTTAGATATTGTGGAAGCTAATCTGGGACTAGGTGGTGGAGGCGACTGGTGGATAGACCCATCACGTAATCCAATTGAGGTAGACTCAAATGGAAACAGAGATGAAGGTGCTATTTTAGACGTTGAAGCCAGTTGCAAAATTTGGTATCGCACGCCATTTGATCGAGATCCAGAATTCTGTAATAATTCTTATCATCTTTTGAACCGATTAAATGAGTTGGCAAAAATCAAAGGGCTAATTGAAGAGGCATCACTGAGGAAACACTCTCCCAATGAAGTAGGACTAAATGATAGTGATCGCCAAATATACCATTCAACGCTGTCTGTGAATGGTTCTATGGATTTCAAAAATTTTTTGTCACATCCAAATCGTGATATACAGAACATTGATCCCCAGTTAGATCTTCGCCGCAGTTTAAACAGTTCAGCTGGAGAGTACGCTAATTTGCATGGTACATATGCTTTACGTAAACAAAATAACAGTGGAAAGTTACCTTTACGTGAAGTCTTTGATGCTAGAACTCAAGAAGTTGATAGTGCTATGTATTGTGAAAAACCCAAACCACCTTTCTCCCAAGCCGTGTATTCAGGATTACCTCAGTTACATAGATCACAACGACCTGCGACTCCGAATAATGTTTCACCTAATATTAGTAACCGCAAAATTTCCTCAAAGCCTAATGACTCTTTGCTTGTTCCAGGCGCTACTAGTAGCCCTTATCAAAAGGCTAGTGGTCAAAAACACTCCGTTCTTTCACGGACCTACTCAAAGGAGCAAATGGATTTACTGAAAGAGGCGAATGATTACCCTCTCAATGAGTCAATTCTTAAGGTACCTGCCTTACTTTCTAGATCTCATGCATTGACCACTTCTCTGCCCATGTCGGATAATGAAGGTGACATAGATGTAACGAGAAGTTTAGATATCTCATCTGGAGTTAATCAATTATCTCAATCGCTTTCTGCAACTGAATTAGTTATGAAAGGTCGCAAACTTTCTGAGAAATTTAACGCATCTTACTCTAGTATGCGAAGCTCAGATGTATTTGAATTAGCTCGTCTCCAGGAAACTCACTTACGTGAACACAGTGGTAGTAGGAGTAAATTAGATTGTTCCAACACTTCACTTACTGAGTCGAGTTTTGGAGATGAGAAACATCGTAAACACAAAAGTAGTGCCGCTGGTAGTATTGGGCAAAAATCAGGCAGTGGTTTAAGTTCTTGTGGGGTTAGCGCAACACACAGTCACGAAGAAATTGCAATTGAGGATACAAATGGTAGGCCAGAACGTCAACATACTATTATAGCGAAGGAATGTTTTAAACCATTATCAAGTTCAGTAGATTGTGAACCTAAAGTCAATATGATTGCGGATATGCATTCGAGTACAAATCTGGATCAAGCAGATGTTGTAACTTCACCCTCTAAACCATTAAATTCTACATACGATGCTCCAGACTTCAAGTACGTCTATGACTGTGATTCAACATCACAAGCAGATGAATTAAAAAATCTCAGACCCATTATAGACAGTATAGATAGTACCGTAATTACCATAAATGATTGTGCCACACAAGGAAGCAACAGTGTAGCACACATATCTCATCCAAATGATGAAATGATGAAACCTAAGGAAAATGAACACCAGCCTGATGCTTATGAGTTAAACGGTCATGTTACTGCGTTGGAAAACAATTCGGATACTGCGTTACCTATGAAACATGATGAAGATACAAAGTCGGGTAAAAATAATGTATCACAAAGTGAACCGGGCTTTGAACAAAATATACCTCATCTGCCAGATTCTGCATCAAATGTCAAAAACCTACAAAGTCCACAGGCAACCCGAACTATTACCAAACCAGTTAACAATAACAAAACAATACCAAACAGACAATCGGGCTTGAAAATTCCTTCAAAAACATCAATCCCTGTTCCTAACGGAAGTATTTCCCGTCTTCCAATGCTATCTCAAAAAATGCCTTCAATGAGCATAAGTAGTCGTCTTGGTTCACGTAAAACTAGTATAACTGGTCCTGAACAAGGTTCTTCTTTTGATCGTCCAATAAACAAAACTCAACCTCCTTCACACAGAAATAATCCATCCTCAAATAACAGCAGTGTTAGTAATGTTTCTTCTAGCAATATTAAAACAAACCAGACATCTAATTCTACAAAGTCCCTTCCTAAATCATCAGTATCATTAACTGTACAACAAAACCAAAGACCAGTGCCTTCTAGAATCAGTTTATCATCTGGTACTTCAGGAACTACTGGCACCATTCGAAAGCCGATAGTACCATCGTTTGGTTCATCTCGTGGGAAATCGTCTGGTAGATCATGAATTCAACTTTGAAAAAATGTTATTAACGTTTGATAAAAATATTATACACTACTTTTAAGATGACCCATATGACTTCTTGTGTGCCAAATCCCGGTTATCCTATATATATACATGCAAAATCAAATTTCGCTCTTTCATTGGTAGAATAAAATGGAATCTAGCTTATGTATACATGTATGTGACAGGTATACAATGACTAACATTCTAACGAATACTTATATCATATTCCTTAATCTTTCTAATCAAATTTGTATTAATTTCAGTACTTTATAATTTTCCTTATAACAATTAGCTATACAGTGTAGTTTATTCATTATGCAATTATTTAGTAAATTTATTTCTTGAAATGAACTTTTTTTTTCATACTATCCCATTTAATCTTAAACTGAAGTTATAGTAGTAATTAACTTGTTTTTCATATTTTTAGTACTTTTTTTTAAAAAAAAAATAAATATCTTATTACTTAACAATGATGAATTTATAATTAGATGCATCAATTCAGGCTTGTAAAGAGTAGATTTGGTCTTCCCTCTTTCAGGTTACTATTTTTATTCTTTTTTTGTTTTTTAGAGAAAAACACCTTATCGTTTATGTGCCTTTTTTGTATACTAATGGATATAGTGTCTATTTGATAACTTTTGTTTTGTTATTCATGATTAATTTGTATAATTATAGAGCTCTTTTCTACCATTCGAATGTGTTTTTTTTAAAAATAAATAGGTTAAGGGCTCTGGCTCAAGACTGATAAAAGTTAATTCTCACTGTTCGTTAACCCTATAATTTGATGCTTTAAGGAAATCACTTACTAGCTAATTACTTCACCAGTTTACATCTCATTTATATTGTTAGTCTTTATATTAGATAAACAGAAACTTCACTCTAGGTCATGAATTTGTACATAGTTAATAGGTTATATTTTGTTCACTTTGCATTCGACAAGTAATGTGAACTAGCTGACACTGTTTAATGTAATTGTTGTAGTGATTTTAAAGTTCAACTTTCTTCGATTACTGTGCATTCAGTTCACGTCTGCTTCTAACTCTCGACGCAATGTGTTCTTCGGACTTCAACTTTTCCGTTTCCCTTTACTATTTCAAGTTACCGCTTGCCTCGTGATTCAGTTTGGTGATTTCCTCAATGAATGTCCTATCCACTTCCAATGTGTTTTCCTAAATTCCTCCTCAGCTGCAAGCTTGTTTGTTCTCTCATAGTAGGCTGTTGGTGATGGTATCCGTTCAACAACGAACATTGAGTATCCTGCGTAGACAATTGTTGAGAAATACCAGTACGTTTTTGATGATGATTGTGGTATTTCTCGAAGCTTCAGCTCCATACAATGGGATTGTCTTGACGTTGTTATTGAAGATTGTGACTTTGATATTGGTTGACAGTTGTTTTGAGTTCCACATGTTGTTCAACTATAGGGATGCTGTCCTTGGTTCGCCAATCCCTTCATGTACGTGTGCATCAGATCCTCCTTGTTCATGGATGATGCTGCTGATCAGGTGAGTGAACGTTTTCACGTGTTCCAGAGTTTCTCCATCAAGTGTGATTGGATTGGTGCTTTCCGTGTTTTAGTTGGGGACCTTGCTTTTTCCTTTGTGTATGTTGAGGCCTACTGATGCAGAGTCTGTTGCTACATTGGCTTTTGTGACCCACATTTGTTCGTGTGTGTGTATGGGATAGAAGAGATGAGAAATCTGCGAAGTGCAAACCTTCTAGTAACACCCAAGCAGTCCATTGTATTCCTTGTTTCCCCTCAGATATGGAAGTCTTAATGATCCAGTCAACCATGTGAAGAAAGAGAAAGGACGAGAGACAGTAATCAGCCTTGTTTGACACTGGTCCTTATTTCGAATGCATTTGTGAGCTGTCCTTCATGCACGACTTTGCAGTGTAGTCTGTCGTATGAACTCCGTATGATGTTGACAATCTTCTCAGCTATTCACTCCATAGTGTCGAAGTAGTTTCCATAAGGTTTTTCTATTCGCGCTGTCGAACGCCTTCTCATAGTAGAGAAAGTTGATGTATAGTGACCAATTCTATTCAGTCGGCACTTTAACCGGGTTGGTGGACACGGAGGGTCCACCTAGGGGAGTTGGAAAACCCTGATTTTAAACCATTGGTGCACATGGGCTCCAGTATCCTGAAGGAACAAATGGCGTACGAACCAACCGTTGGTCACCGGCAACCATGGGACTGCATCTCCTCACGATGCTCCACTGCCCTGTAGGATAGACCTCTATGTCAAAGGCTCCGTATGTGACCCCCTAAGAAAACCACCTTCGTTTTGGGCTCCCGGGCAGTATCACAGCCCACACATAAATGAAGTGAAATGACGCACTCCATTAACTGCACTGCTCTCGTTCCTAATAGAAGAAAGGCAATTCACATTATCATTATTATTACCATTGTTATTATTATTATTACTATTATTTACTACGTCGCTTTTTTCACTCCCTTTATTCCCAAATTGTGTATCCTTCTTTTCCAACTGATGCAGTAGCACGTCCATGGTGGAAACTCTGTCCTATCTAAACGATCTCCAGTCACTGTCTGGTTGAAAGTGAATGCTTCCACCGACTACGAATACTGAAGCAGTCTTTCTGAAACCACGTACGCCGTTCAAGCTGGCCTCCTTCAACGTTCGCACACTAATGCAGATCGAACAACAGATGGGGCTGGCTATGTCTTTAGAAAGTCTTAATATTGTTGTTTGTTGTCTATCCGAGACCCGTATTCAAGACTTTAGTGAAGTACTACAAATTCGCTCTCCATCTGTCGCTTCGAAAAGCTTGTTCCACGTGTGCTTATCCGGGGACACTGTGGCATCTTCGTCTGGTCTTGCTGACGTTGGTGTTGCACTAAGCGCTAGAGCTGAGGCAGCACTAATCGATTGGATCCCCATTTACAGTCGGTTATGTGCTGTTAGATTAGAAAGTTCCATCAAAGTGAGAAGAAATCGGCGTGAGAAACGGTGTCTTTTCGTCATCTCCGCCTATGCCCCGACAGATTGCAGCCCGGATGCAATCAAGGATGAGTTTTACCATCAGCTAACAGTTCTTCTCCATAAAGCGCGTTCGACAGATATTGTAGTACTAGCCGGAGACTTGAATCCACATGTCGGGTGTCTAGACACAGAAGAGAGTCGTTTAGGTGGCCGATGGGGACTTGTCGGTCGCAGGACAGATAACAGGGACCGTTTGCTGCAACTGTGCACAGACCACAACCTGTTTCTGGCCAGCACTAACTTCCGGCACAGTCATCGCCGGTGTGCCACCTGGCGTCCTCCCTCTGCATCTCAAGCCTGGACTCAGATTGATCACATCGCGATCAGCTACCGCTGGTGTGGTTGTGTACAAGACTGCCGCTCCTTTTGGAGTACCTATCTGGACTCTGATCATGCCCTGGTCTGCGCCAATCTTACGTTACTTTTCAGTGGCCGAAGGATTGACCACCATCAACGGATCGATGTCAGTAAACTGGCTGCAACTTCTGTTGCAAGTAAGTATCGAACCGAGCTAGCTTCTAGACTAGCTACCATCCCACCGAAAAGTATGGATGAGCATTAGTTGCGTCTTCATGACGCCATGAAAATGGCGAGTAATGTCGCTTGTGGCTTCGCGAAACGTCCCGCTTACAAGCACTGGGTTTCTTCTGGCTCCTTACAACTGATGGAAGCCCGTCGGTCTACTCCGGATGACCATGGGTTTGACCTCAAACGAAGGCTGTTACGTAGTAAAATTGAGCAAAGCTTTAGTAAGGACCGAGAAGCCTGGTGGTCGGAGCGTGCTAATGAGATGGAAGTAGCAGCCGCGTCTGGTATGTATCTGGTGCCCTTTTGTACCAATATGTATGTGTTTAAATAAAATAAATAAAGTACTTCCAAAATATTGGCTTCTGTCATTCTTCGTAGGTTGTTTAAAACCCGAGAACGATTGACTCGCGAGGAGCAGGCTGGTTTTCGTTCTGGTCGAGGATGCATTGATCACATCTTCACCCTCCGCCAAATGTTAGAATACCATCATACTTATCGCAGGCCAACAATCGTAGTGTTTCTTGATATCAGGGCGTCCTTCGATTCGTTGGACAGGACTGTTCTCTGGGATTGTCTATTGAAGAAGGGTGTGCCTGAGAAGTTCATTAACAACTTAAAGGCCCTGTATACGAACACCTCAGGCAGAGTGAGGGCATACAACCACCTTTCTCCCTTGTTCCATTCGAGCAGTGGGGTTAGGCAGGGTTGCCCGATCTCACCATTCCTCTTCAACTTTGCCATCGATGACATCCTGGAAACAGCTCTGATGGATGTAAGTAATGGCTGTGTGGATATGTTGTCTGGAGAACGACTTCTCGACCTCGAGTATGCGGATGATATTGTCTTACTGTGCGATAATGCCCAAGCCATGCAATCCGCACTTAATCAGTTGGCAATCAGTGTCCGCAGGTACGGCATGTGCTTTGCACCGTCGAAGTGCAAGGTACTCCTACAAGACTGGCAGAATTCTCATCCTGTACTCACCTTGGATGGTGAGCAGATTGAAGTAGTTGAGAAGTTCGTGTATCTAGGTAGCTATATAAGTGCTGGTGGTGGCGTGAGTGATGCGATCGATGCACGTATAATGAAAGCCAGAGCGGCTTATGTCAATCTGGCCATCTTTGGCGCCTTCGTGATGTCAGTCTGGCTGTAAAAGGTCGGATCTACAACGCGTCGGTGAGAGCAGTTTTGCTCTATGCTTGTGAAACCTGGCCTCTCCGAGTTGAGGATGTTAGATGTCTCTCTGTGTTTGATCATCGTTGTCTCCGAAGGATTGCTGACATCCAGTGGCAACACCATGTTAGTAATGCAGAGGTTCGGCATCGTGTGTTCGGGCGCAGGGATGATAATTCAATTGGTGTCACCATCTTGAAACACCGACTTCGGTGGCTTGGACATGTTTTACGCATGTCGTCCCAGAGACTTCCACGTCGTGCACTATTTGCCGACCCTGGGACTGGTTGGAAAAAGCGGAGAGGAGGTCAGTGTATGACATGGTGTCGTGGCCTTAAAGAAAGCCGCAAAGGGCTAGCTTCTGTTGGTCCTTCACGACTCCCTGGCTGGGGTCCGAGAGATGGTGCAACACAGTGTCTAGAGACGTTATCAGATATGGCTCAGAATAGAAGCCAGTGGCGAACCTGCTGTAACCTACTTTTACTTTCTACATAAAGAGTGGTTCTAACTTTCTTAACTGAAAGAGTCTTCTGGTTGTACATTTCAGTCCGCCTTATCTTTTCATCCCTTCTCTTCCTACTTTCATTATTTTGTATGGCGCATATGTATCTGGTGCCCTTTTGTACCAATATATATGTGTTTAAATAAATAAATAAAAGTGTCGTGATTTGGTTTGTGCATGACCAATCTCTAAAGAATCCAGTGTGTTTACCTCGAAGTTGGGCGTTTACTGAATCTTTCATCCGGTTCAACAACACTGTGTCGAAAACTTCTCGTGGTACTGACAGTAGTGTGATTACTATGTAGTTCTCATATTTGTTCAGATCTCCTTTGTTTGGTATGTTGATGAGGTGTCCTTCTTTTCAGTCCTTCGATACTTGTTCTTTCACTGAAATCTTTCTGAATTAAACATGGAGCATGTCTGCGGTTACTTCACTGTCTAACTTCAGTGCTTCATTTGTCATGTTTTCATGTTGT